TCTTGTCCCTTTTCATTGTGTGGCCTGGGAGCTGGTCATCCGTATTTTCCGCACAGAGGGTGGTTGTCCGGGCAGTTTTGGCTTGGACACACAGGCCATAGACCCTTCAAAGGGAATGTGTTGCTTTAATTGCCCTTTGAAAGCAAAGGGAGACGACATCATATTTCTTGGCGGGTCAGGACGTTTAAACGGGAGTGGCATGTTTCAGCAGGCAGTTGGCTGCGGATGGATGCTGGAGACATGAGCTATCCGATGGCCTCGGATTGAAGGAACCCATCATCATTTGAAGGAGTTGATCCATGTCAAGGAGGCCTGCTTTGCTTGCAGTCCTTCTAATGCAAAGGTTTGCCCTTTTCGGGACATTCTGGATTTTGGAATTTCCGCTGAATTTTCCACATGGAATAGGGGCCGACAAGAGTCAATGAGCCAACTTCCAACTTCTTACCCTCCCACCTCTTGTGTAATGTTGACCCCTTGCGGAGGGGCCCCCACCCCTTATTCCTCCAACAATGCGATGCCTAATTTGCAGGTGTTACATTGTTAGAGCAATCAGGCACCTCTTCCAAGGGGATTGCTTTCATTTGCTGAAATGATAATTTTGTTCTTTCCCCCTGTTGGTTTTCCAATTGACATGGAACCTGACAGGGGGTCCCTTTACAAGGAAAATGGTCTGCCAGGACGCACGTCAGGTTCCAGGTGATTTTGGTGGGAGGGTAATTGTAAACGCTTCGCGCTGCCCGCCTCGGCCCAGCCTAGTGTGAGGGCAGGGTCAGGAACACCGAAATCCAGGAACACCGAAATCCAGTGTTGGGAAGGTCCGAATCCTACTGAAAGCTTGTGACCGCACCAGTTCGCCCGTGCTAGTTCGATGTTCGGAAGCCGTCCTGCTCGGAAGGTTATCCAAAACCAAGACTATCTCAGCTGCTCAGTGCCCTTGGAAAAAAAAAGGACCTCTTTCTGGGGATGAGCATTTTTAGTGGGGCTTGGCCTCCATAAAAAGGGGAACAATAATTGGTGTCACTGAACAACCAAGACCAACTTTGGGTGTTTGGGCACCTCCATTTGACGTGGCTGGCGGCTTGCCATGACATACATTTCTTGCTCGGTTGCTCAGCCCAAGACAGGTACATGGTGGGAATACAAACCTCCATTTGCTTCACTTAAGACCCAGCAAGATCCTTTCAAGACCCTGACAGTAGATAACCCCGGAAATCGAAAAAAAGCACAGGGTCCAGACTTCCGCTCATGCCCCCTGCATTTCCCCATCACATCCCTTTCAATTCATCTGCATTCCCTTCACAATTCTCACGAAGACGGTGGACAAGGATGTCGAAAAACACTGTCTTTTGCAATGCTTGCAGCAAAGGGAGGTAACAAAACACATTTTTCTCGATGCTGTCAGCGAAAGGAAGCGCAAAACCCGAGCCAGTAGAGAGGCGGCAGGGGGCTGGAAGGTGAAAAGCAGTAGGCCGTGCTTGAGTGGGTTGCTTGCTCAGACTAGGGCGGGCTGCGCTGCTTGGGTAGTCGGAGTGAAGGGCTGGTTGGGGAAGGCCTGCGCCTGGGGCCTGGGCAGGGCGGGCTGGGCTGGGCGGGTGGCTGGTTGGGCTGGCCTGAAGCCAGTCTTGGGTGGGCTGGGCTGTGGCTTGCTTGCACGGGTTGTGGGCTGGGCTTGAAGCTGGATCCAGACAAGTCAGACAAGCCGGCCTCGCCTGGTTGGGCTGGCCGGGGTTTGGGCTGGGCAGGCTGTTGCTGGATGACTTGGGGTGGTGCTTCTGGCTGGGCTGGGCCTGTTTCGAGGCTGGGTGGGCTGGGCTGACAGGCCTGGCCAGCAGGCGGGTTGCTGGTTGGGCTGGGCCTGAGCCTAGTGACACGTCAGACAGGCCTGGCCAGCAGGAGGTCATGCTTTTCAGGAGCAATTGTCAGCACATTTTCGACAAAAATGGACCCATTAAGCTGGACGCCGACGACCCCGAAGGCAGCCGACATGGGGGGGGGGGGTGGGGGGGGGGGGAAAATTTTGGGTTGGAGCGAAGATTCTCGCAACCTGACTTTGACCAAGCACCTGCCACGCTGAATGAGTGCTTTGCAGGCCCTGCGTGCGTCAGAAGGAGGCGGCGACGCCTGCCCCGCAGGAGAGGAAGGGCTGGCACGTCCCCTTTGGTTGCTTTTGAAGGGAAGCCAACAGGAAGTCCATAGTTTTCATGGGCTTTCTGTGGTAGGAATCGCAATCCTTGCGGCCGGGCCTAAGTTCTGATGGTCCAAGCAGGCGTTCTGTGCACACATGCACAAACACACAAGTGGCTTGGGGTCAAAACCACTTGAATTCCCTTCTTAGGTCCACTTGGAGGTTTCCAAGCCCCTTTTGATGCAACGACCTGGTTGCTTAGGGTTAGCTGGGGATAGTCATCACTCTTTAGGACTTCGAGACAAGTTCTAGATATCGTGCTTGGTACTACAACGGACCAGGTTGAGTTTGGACGTTGCTCTCGAGCGGGAGGACATGCAGCCTTTGGTGTCCTTGGACGCCTGGAAGGCTGGCAGGGCAGGTTTTGCCATTGCAGACCCTTCCTGGGCCTTGCTCTCACTTGATGTACAAATGGCTGTGGGTCAACACCGTTTTGGGATCCCATTTTGGTTGGTAGGTGAATCCACCACCCATCTTAGAACCTATTTTAGTGGTTGGATTGGGATGTTCACTGGGGGTAGGATTTGGGGTTTTTGACCCATGGCCAACTTGGGCCGAGGAAACAGGAGACCTCCAGCGTAGCCTCTGTACCTTGCGGCTTGCTGCCGGATTCCGAATCCGGCCACTTCCATGCGGTTGGGGTTGCCTCCTCCCCAAATAGGTAGCCTGATCGAGAGGGTCCCATTGGCCCAGGCCTACTTCACAGCCCTCTCCACCAGCATTCCGCACCTTGGCTGTTGACCCGCAAAAGCTGAACCACAAGGAAACGGGGTTGGAAGGCGAATCAACGAAGACCTGCACACCCCCGCCCCCCAAGTTTGGACCAAACCATGCCGTACCAAGAAGCTGAATCACGAGCTTGCCCTGAGATAAGAGACCATCGGCACTCCTGGCATCCTTGAGCAAAGGCATGCTTCCTTTTGGCTTCAGATGCGAGATGCTTCCCTTGTGGGCAATCCTCCCACAAAAACTGTTCACTATTCACCTCCCCTGAAGAGTTTTAGATTTGTGTTGGAATGGCCCTGGCAAAGGACATTGATCTCAGAGGCCGTCGTATCCACATGTGCCAAGCTATGAAGCAGGTCCTTTGGCATGGGACACGTGCTGAATATGGCCATAGGGCAGAACCTATGGCTCCATTTTTGGGGTGGATGAACATCCCTGTGCCACCTATATTTTGATGTTCACCAGGGGTTTCCTGGGTTTTGACAACCACAGCCATATGTACACCCGGGAAGGGGGTGGGTGGGCTTCATTTTGGGGATCTTGGAAGTGCCTTTCCGAGGGACGAGGAGATCTTTAGGGAGACGCTGCGGGAGCCACTGCTGGCCTACCAGGCCACACCGCGATCCGCTTCAGCGGGTTTTCCGGGTCAACACCGTTTTGGGATCCCATTTTGGTTGGTAGGTGAATTCATCACCCGTTTTAGAGCCTATTTTAGTGGTCGGATTGGGATGTTCGCTGGGGCTACGACTTGGGTTTTGACCCATGGCCACAACAGTTCCCCCACCTTTTTGGGGTCCGAGTCCCAAAAGGGAGATGCCTGTAGAAATGAGGGATTTGGGGGAAGCAAAGTGAAGCTGAGGGGGAAGTACCAAGCATAGGCGTCAGCACAACAGATCAACCACACCACACCACACCACACCATACCACGCAACACAACACAACAACTTGCAACACAACGCAACGAACCACAGCACAACACAACACCACACAGCACAGCAACAACGCAACGCAACGCAACGCCACGCCACGCAACACACACACACACACACAGCACAGCACAACACAGCACAACACAACACACACACACAACACGCACACACACACACAACACAACCCACAACCCACAACCCACAACCCACAACCCACAACCCAAAACCCAAAACCTACAACACACAACACAATACAACATATCACAGTAGAACACAACACAGCACAGCACAACGCAGCACAGCACAACACAACTCTACGCAACACAACACACAACACACACACACAGACAACACACACACACACACAAACACACGCACACAGCATAGCGCAGCACACCGCAGCACACCGCAGCACACCGCACCACAACACAACACACACACACACAGACAATACACACACACACACACGCTCAAGACACACACACACACAAGACACAAGCAACTCTCTGACCTCGCAAAGCCTTCTGGCTTGGGACCAAGAAGTCCCGTGATGAACCAGCTAGCAGGGAAGCCGAAGGCTTTGTGTCCGTTTTCAGACTTGAACAAATGAAGCCGCGATGAATATATCGCAGATGGGCGACTTTTTCAAGCAGGAGTTTTGAGCTCATGTATGGTGCAGGGTTAGGCCCGGCTCTGGGCACTTGTTTGTAGACAAATTGGGGCTATCTCATGGTTGACACAAAGGCTTTTGGTGGATGTTTCAGGGACCCCCAGAGCTCGACAACTTTTGCATGGAACAATCGATACAACATTCGTAGACAGCCCTGCAAATCAAGCAAAACACGGAGCCCTACTCCAGAAGAACATGCGTCCGCACGCATGGCAAGGGATGATCGTGCCTTGTCCATACAACGCATTGATGCAGTTACTAATTCAACTCCAGCGTCAGGTTCCTTCTTAACTGTGACCCCCACAGCAAGCCCTGCTGTGAGTATTGGCGGAAGTGATATCGAATTCGTGGCAAGACTGCGCCTACCAGCACTGCAGCCATCTTGCAACACCCCGCATCTTCAACTTCTCAGGCTCTTTCGGTTTCTATGTGTAACGCTCCCGTTTCACAAGCACACCGAATTTTCATGGATCCTGTCGAAGATATTGATCCTCCAGGCAACGCTGGCTCCTTCTTTCACTTTGACGACATGGGCTAATACTTTTCCTGGACTCGGGTGGCGCAGCAACGGCTCGCTCATCCTGGTCAAGACAAACTTCAGGGACCCCCAGAGCCTGAATCGAAGAGCCTGGGATGTACAGGTTCCGAAGTTCCGGATGTTCCTGTCCATCCAGCGAAACACGGCGTCAGGAAAATTGGCTGACCTTGGCATCTTGACAGCAGTGTCCAACATCCGTTTTGGCCATTTCAGTAGCTGGTTCTTGTGGGTTTGTAGAGGCTTGTTGCTATTTGTATTGCCTCTTTGGTGGAACCAACAGGTTTTGGGCGCTGCTCACGTGCAGACACGGATGCCTCACGTGCAGACAGAGACGCGTTGCTAGCATCTAAAGGCTTGGATCTCTTTGGCTCGAGTGGTCTTCCCAAACCCGCCTCCGTTCTCCTCTCCGCTTTTCCGCCAGAGAGAGCTGCGTTCCGCCTCGTTTTCCGTTTCGGCGCGCGTCCGGGAGGCCTACGGCCGGCTCCAGGCGGATCGGCTCATCATGGAGCCCATGGGCCGCAACCAGCGGTGCAAGCTCCAGGTGTCCGGGGAGCCCAGCTCGAGTTCAGCTCAAGGCAGAGGTTCTGTTTGAAGTGCGGGTGGTCTCTGAAGAGGTCTCTGAACCCAATAGTTTTTGTGGTTTTTGTGTTGTTTGGGTAGAGGTTCCCTTGAAACCGGAAACGCAGGTACGTTTAACCCTGCTGGGCCGTTGGTCGCTGGTTCACGTCCAGGGATGGGATCCCAACACAGCATACCTGCCACTTTGGTCCGGACCCAACTCCCTGGCAGCCCTTGCGCTCGGGAACAAGCGATAAGAAAACGGTGCATGCTGAGTCAAAGCATCAACTTCCTCACCATTTGCTAAGACCAGCCCCTCAAGCCGATAGTTTGGTGGGGCAAGCCATGGGTTGGTTGTTCTAGTGCAGGCAGTGCACAGCAATTTGTGGTGCAAGATATAGCGAGCATGTCATCTTCACCCAGGTGAAGGATCACTGGCGTGCCTGGTTCCAGTGGGCTATTGGAAGTGGGTCAAGCATGGGCAACTGTACCTGCGGGTAAATATCCTGATCAATGATGAAGGGCCCTTCATTGACGGTGTTATCATATCTGATCGGCAAGCAAGGCACCATGACTCCTAGAACTTGCAGCTCTAGGAAGCGCCGAGGCCACATGTGCACTTTGAAGGAAGGCTTCAGCGTCCCGACCGAAGCTCCCCCAGAGCGGGATGTCAACTCAACCGTAGAAAGGGTATACAGCTTTCCTCCGGGTTGCTTGGGCTGGAAACTATCTTGGCCAGCGATGCCAGCGCATTGCAGCTTTGCCAAAGGGCTCAGAATGGAGGTCCCAGAGGTCCCAGCCATGCCGACCCCCGACATGGACTTTTTGCAGGAGACTTCTGCCGACTCCGACTCGCCCCAGCCAGAGCCACAGGAGCAGTGACTTGGATACGACCTTTAAGCTTTAACCCCTTGCGGCAACTACTTCCTGTCAAACAAAGTGTTTCCGCACTAGTATGACTGTTTCCCTACTCACTTTGTGCAGGGGGTCCACCAACCAAGGTCAGCGGAACTTATCCCAACCTCGCGGCGAGTTGAGCTGCGCCGCGTGCAACAGCAAATTCTCCACCGCTTCCTGAAGCAGCACAAGTTCCAGGGTGTCAACGCCCCGAGAGAGGTCGTCGGGAAATGCCAAAGTAAGGACAGGGAACATGACTCCGCATTGCCAAAGACATTGGCCCAATTTTCAGAGGTAGACACTTTGGGTTGTCTCAGTTTTTCTTCTCCTTGCCGGTCGTCAACACACGCTCACCCATGATAAGGGTCCTTTCCACTCATCTAGCTGCCCTGCCTAGTTGCCAGTTTGTGGCGGGCTGTGTGCCCGCGTGTCTCATCCCCTTACTACCCTAGACCACCTGCTCGCCAGCCAATGGGCGCGTGTGAGGTGAGCTTCCGATCAGTGTTTTTCTTTAACCCGGACTCTCGGGGGCCGTTGTGGCCTAATTGTTGCGCGTGCGTCTACGTGAGCCCTGCTTTGGCTGATCTTGCCAACATATATAGATTCAGATGACCTTCCCCATTCACAGGATGCGTTGTCTGGTCCAAGACACTTCGTCGCTGGGCCATCAGGGCAACAAGGGTGCCTTTACGGATCGCTCAATTTCAGTGAAGCGTAGCAAGTGCTGATGCTTGCACAGACCTTCTTCTCAATGAATGTAGGATCCCCCAGATTGGGTGGCCTTTTGTTCCCTGTGAGGATGTGATTTACCCCATCCACGCAGCGGCACACCTGGGGGACCACCACCTCTTCCGGCTGCTTCTGACGGCCGGAGCAGACCCGACGCAGAAGACTCACTGCGGTCGGAGTGCTATGGACTTTGCGCTGGCAGCCAACAGGCGGACCTTGAAACACCAGGGAGGGTATTTGGCTGTGGCTCAAACATGGAATCTAAAGGAACACCGAAAAGAAGCTGTTGACCTGCCGAAGTGGCGCTGCAAGTTTTCTTTGTCTGAGACGTGGGGCGCAAAAGGTTTGCATGACGTGCTTCTGTTTAGCACAAGCGGAACATAGCTTCTGCACCTGGGATTGAGGCATTGCTGTTTCTCAGAATTCGGGACCCTCCAGGTAGGTGGTTTCCTTTTAGTGCCGGAGTTTGGCTTGCTTCTGAGTTGGGCTTGGACCCATCCCCGAAGAACTGCTCTTTCAGGTGCGGCTCCCATGAGGACGTGGTGAGTCTGCTCAGGGACCAGGTCGGCCGGGGCATTTTCTTGGGTGCTCCTTTTGCAGCACGGCCTTCTGCATTTCGTTGGTTCAAAGAGGTATCATTGACCATGCCCATCCCGAGAAGGCAAGCAATGGTTTCTTTGGGTGCAGTTCAGGGCTGGGCGGATTTGATGTAAACAACATGGGGGGCTCCCTTAAGGACGCGAAGGAGGTTGTTTAGCAGGTGCTTCAACATGTGCAAACCAGATTTGTTGGTTGCTTGGATGCTGGGCAAGGTCAGTGGTTCGCTGGGGCGACAGCACGCGAACTTGCATGATCAACCCAGCAAGGACGTAGGTGTTCCATCTCTCGTTTTTTTTTTTCCCCCCCCTTTTTTTTTTATTCGGGGGATCCACCGCCTATGTAGTTGGCGAAAGGTGAAGATCATGGGCCTCAAGGACTTCCTGCGCTTGGCCTCGCCAGAAGAGGAGCAGGGAGACGTTGACATGTGAGCCTAGGGAGGCTTCAAAGCGGGAAGGGGGAAGCAGCAATCTAGGGGACACCGACTTGAAGACCAAAGAAAAGTCACCCTTTGAGCAAAACCCCCAAAGGTAATACTGTTGGAGGGACGTGTTCGAAAGGAAAGGTAGACACGGGCAATCCCGTAAGGGCAAGCTGTCGAAAGAACCCTCTTGAACCTGCTTGAAGGGGACACTGTTGGAAGCTATCATCAGGAAAGCTATTGCAAAGTGAAGCAAGTTATGGGGATTGCTGTCAGAAGGACATCTCTTGAAGGGAAGGTCGACTATTCAAGAGGACCCTCTGCAAGGGAAGCCTATGGGCAAAGCTAGTAAAAAGCCACTTCCAGGCGAAGCCAACTCCACAAAACCAATGAGTTGATTCAAATGTTGAAACTGAGCCTAAGGCATTTTTCGAGTTAGCGAAGAAGATGATGGATCTGTTCCCTGTCAGGAGGTATCGAGCCCCGTGTCAGGGACAATCCGAGGCATCAAGTCAAAGTCCATGCGACTCCGCACCTTGGAGCTTTTGAAGCGTCGCTTGGCCGTCTCCTTCGGAAAGAAGTCGTGAGGTTCTGGTGCGGTGCTCGCAAACGATGAAGGAAGGTGCAGCCAGGTCGAATTTTCAACTTCTCTGCGACCGCTGTCCCATATTTTGGAACATTTTTTGATTTGACGGAACTTTGGGCCTCGAAAAGGCAGCCAGTCAGTTTTCTGGAATTGGCGCCCATGAAAAGGCGACTTATACTGTTTAAACATCCGTTGAGGGGGCCTCTTGACACCTTCCCAGGCAAGCAACGTTGAAAGCCCAGCTCACCCCGTCATGTGTGGCCAAGGGGATGGTGGACACCCTCTAATACGGCACCTTTGCGCGCGGCTGTGGGCATTTCAAAGAAATCCATCGCCCAACAATCGTGCGGTGCCCATGAAATGGCGTTGTCCAGCTGAGTTTGGTCTGACTCTCAGCCCATCGGGCTGGTCTTGGAGAGTGAGTGGGAGTCGACTGACCGCATGAAATGGTTCACGTTGCTTTGTCTTAAATGGAAAGCACACACACACACACAAACACAGACAGAGACGCAGACACAGACGCGGACGCGGACACACGGACACACCACTTGGACCCTCGGACAC